CGGCGGGAGCGGGGAGGCGACCGGAGAGCGGCTCCGTGCTGGCCCTCGCCTCCCCTGCCCGTCCTGCCCTCCCAGGTGCGGATCCCGGGACGGACCTGCGCGGGACGGGGATGCTGGGCCTGATGCAGATGCTCTATTTCGTCATGGACGCTCGGACGCTGCCGCTGGCTCAGGAGATTTTCCAGCTGTCCCAGCACGAAACCCAGGCACGTCCTTCCGCCTCCTCCGCTTGCTCCCTGCGGGGGTGTCTGCCCGTTTGTTTCTAACGCTCAGGAAGCACAAAAACCTCTTTGGAGTAAAGCTTGGGGTTTATTTTTATTTTTTGCTGCTTGATCCCACTCGTGCTGGGAAGGGGGGGAAGGTGGTTCCCCAAAGAACTGAGCAGTTCCGCTCAGAGGCTGGAGCTGAACTCCAGGTGTTGCCTTTGTTCTGGGAATGAGATTTTTAGCGTCCTGGTGGAGATCAGCGATTTCCTCCTGGGATCCTGGCTCGGAGCTGAACTTCTCCGGGTTAAAAGGGCGAAGAGCAGCGCGGTGTAAAAACAGGAGTGAGGGGATCCTGCCTCCTTAGGCTCGGCGTTTGGCCTTAGGTTTAAGGCTGGATATAAGCTCGACTCGACCCACAGCATCCATCTAAACCTGTATCCGTAGGATTATTATCCTCCTACGTGGATCTGTTGCCTGCAGCCCCCGTCCTGCGGGTTTGGGGTTGGGTGGATGTGACAGTTATCGGGGCACCTCCGCGTGCCGGAAAAGAGGAGGCTTTTCCAGCCGAGCCGCGCTAACGCTCGTTTTCCTGCAGAATTTCCCCTTCTGCATCATGTCCGTGAACATCACCCGCATCGTCATCCAGGCCCTGAGGGAGGAACGTCTCTCCAGGTGAGATCCGGAGCGACCCACAGCTCTGTAGCCGGCCTGGACGGCGCTTTAGGGGTCCCAAACCGCGTCGGTTGCCGGTTCCCGGTGAGCGGGGTCCCTCCCCGGCAGCTCCGAGCCCCTCTCCACCTGTTTCAGGGAGTGCAACCGCCGGCAGCAGGTCAGCAGGTCATCGCCGTGCTGAACGACCTGTACGCCGCGGCGTTCCTGCAGCTCTACCGCGTCTGGAAGCGGCAGCACAAGACCGTCGCCGACTCCGGCTTCCTCCTGAAAGGTGCGTTTCCGCACCCGGGGCCAAACCCGGTGCGTTCTCGGCACGTCCGTGTCCCGCTGAGCCCGACCCCAAGGGCTGTAACACCCGGAAAGCCCCAACTGCTCATCGTTTCATCTTCATGCCGAGATTTTTCGACAATTTTTAACTATCTGAGTTAAAAATTATCCCTGCGCAGTGATTTTTTTTTCCTCCCTACCCCCGTTTTGTATCTCCAATCTCAAAAGACGAGCCCCTGCCGTGTCCGGAGGGCTCCTGTGTCGTGGTGCCGGTGGCAGTGTCGGGGTGCCGGTGGCAGACGGGGCCGTTTCTGGCTCCCTGGGCTCGCCCGGCACGGTGAGCCCTGTTCGTAGCGCCGGGGCGGCAGCGGACTCGCCGCCGGCGCAGCTTTTCGCGGTGAGCGCTAAATTAACCAGCGGGGTTGTTTACTCTGGAGGGGACTGATGTCAACAGAGCCGCTCGGCTGCGCCCGGCTAATGGCTCCCTCTTGGAACGGGGTCCAGCTGTCGCAGTCGGGCTCTGCTTTGATCCGCTCTCCCCGGGTTTTCCCTCGCAGGGGGAATCTCGAGCTGGTGCCGAGCTGGGCTGGGGGCTTTGGCGAGGAGCTTTCTGTGCTCCCTCATCCCGAACAAAACATATAATCGTGCCTCTTCCCGAGGGGATACATTGGGACACCTTACCCCGGGAGCACGCTGTGTCCCCAGTGCCGTCCTGGCCTCGCGCTCTGTCCTCACGCTTTTCCCTCCGCCCTCCCCGGGGGAATCTCGAGCTGGTGCCGAGCTGGGCTGGGGGCTTTGGCGAGGAGCTTTCTGTGCTCCCTCATCCCGAACAAAACATATAATCGTGCCTCTTCCCGAGGGGATACATTGGGACACCTTACCCCGGGAGCACGCTGTGTCCCCAGTGCCGTCCTGGCCTCGCGCTCTGTCCTCACGCTTTTCCCTCCGCCCTCCCCAGAGCTGGAATCATCCACCAAAAAGAAACCGAAGCAGCTCCTGAAATCCCTGGAGGCCTACGTGAACCGAAAGGCAGACGGCCTTCAGCAGCCATCCTCTCCCTCCACCGACAGCAGCCGGGCTGGCGAGGAGATGGACTTCACGGGCGTTTGCGACCTG